CAAAAATTATTCATACCATAAAGATGTTCGTARAAAGYAGTTGCAAACGAAAATAGAAAATGTAGCAAAAAGAAACATTTACRAGGTCCTTTAATGAACAATTGTAAATTTTCCAATACATAATATTGTAGAAGTTGTATGAAGCKTGACATTCTCAATGATARGACGTGAAGTTGTGCTGAACTCGAAGAAGTTCTCTTAATCTGATGGAAACGACATATTCTTAAKTTCAMTTAMCTGTCTAATAAACTTGTAAGAACTRGAATAGTTTTAATAATGCTCGTCCAGTTCTGAAAATCCGATTTTTGCATTCAATTTCTATGAATTTTGGGGAATATGTACACGAMTTGAATTCGCCCAACAGGTGTTTTTATACAATTCAGAATACGTTTCTAGGTACATTGGAATCGACCCCAATATCTAATAGGTTCTAATACAGATGTCAGCTCCAGCACAGCCAAACAATAGAAATTCATATAATGGATTACTTATAAACGGACTTTTGTGATGAATGTCCTGAAACCTCAACGATTTACAGAACTTCAAAATGAAAGAATAGAACTATTTCGGTGGTTTCAGATGCTGCTTTTGAGCTGGTACAAAAACGAAAGAAACTGAATTTGGCTCAACAATGAATCGCTATTGTGACACAATACAGTTTCCAGTTCGAAACTTTTTAAAGCGGGAAACAGGGGCTTAAAAATGTAATAGAACGTATTTCATAACGATAAACAAATATTTTAAAGGAATCAAAATGGACGTATTTTGTTTATATAAATTAAAGTTATGGTATAGCTTTCGGCCAATAAGATCCATTCAAGCAGAGTCTATGAATCTGAAGAAGAAACTTTGAAAAAGTAGTCGTTAATTGATGCTAGAGTAATAAATGAGAAGGAAACCAGACACAAGATAAGACTTATATTCTTGAATAAATCCAGAACATCCGGGAGATAAGTGTTATTGCAACTAAGTGCTTTAAAGGTGACTCTCAAAATTTCAAGTTTATTAAAACATTTTTAATAAGAACATCTATTTCAAACAATGACCATTTATGATAGTTTAACGATTGATGGCAAGGAGTGGCTTGGCGAAGTTAGATGCAGTCTGCTTTTTAGTGAAACGAAATATAATGATTTTATAACAAAAATTTCAAAACGACTTACTAGTTGTAGTAGTAACTAGTCATAAGATTGGTCAATCTAGGTTAACAACTATAATTATAGGAATTATTTAGCTAAAACATAAAATTCTGAAGCGAACATTAGAACAAATTATGCACCTATGCACATTATTGAGCTTTTAGTTGAAACTAGGTAAACAAGAACTCAACAGAAACTAGATTCACAAAATAAGTCATAACTATATCATAACAGGTAGATATTGATTATACATCTCGACAAAAAGTATTTAAAAAATAATGTTTCAATCATTTGAATAACTTTTTCCATTCTAGTTGAAGTATGAGAATGTTTAGACAACAAGTAAGTAAATATTTTCGTTAAATGTCAAATAAGGCGGAATTATAAAGTTTCGTAAAGACAATAATTTAAAAAGAATAAATAAATTAATATTTAATAATGGCTCCACAAATATACAAATAATGGTTAAACATAAAATGAACATATTTCAAGGAAGGTGACAACGATTGGTTAATTAATAAACTTGATTTGTAAAAGAAGCAATATGCAGCAAAACTAAAATCATCTGAGGATACATTCGTAGATGCCGCTCAGTGAACTGGACTATATACTACATAAATAAATCACTAAAAATAAAAGTATCTGGATTAATGTTTTACTCATAAATTCTCGCGGGTTGCATCATATAAAAATGTCGAATGTCGTGTCAGACCCCAATAAATCGAATATTTTTATCTAGGTTCATAAAAACGACCCATCATCCTGAACTGAGATTTGGGATTTTAGAGAATAAATAATGCCAGATAAAACGGTCGCTTGTACGGTCGGTCGGTTAGAGATTTGGGACGGGTTAGAGGAAAAGCAACACCTCGGCACCCGAGGTCAAAGAGAAAAACGTCGATAAGCTGCATCTTAATTAAGACATTTAAAAACGTATACGGAACATATAATGCATTTGTTGTCACTCCAAAGATAGCGTCTGCAGATTAATAGCTTGAAGTGGGTTTGGGATTTTTGGGCCTGTCACTGCTCAGAATTTCTGTTATATCGCGATTGAAATGATAAATTCTTTCAAATACCTTTTTTAATTGTAAGTTACATTTCCTGTATGGATGACATGGTTCGGAATATTTAAAGAATTCTATTTTTTGAGTAAAATTGATTTAAGTTCAATTAAAACATCTCGTAAGTAAAATCGATGTAGGGCATGAGTAATTTTATGATCAGTATTAACGCACATTTATCATTTATAAAGCAGTAGTCTTTTTGGATGAGCATTAATTTCGGGAAATAACTATACCTATAAGAATCCCAAAATAAAAATTATTGTTTATTTTCGCACCCCCTTAAGACGTTTTGTCTTCTAAGTTCCTGTGCATTTAACTATGTGTAAGATGTTAAATATCGCCGTCAACAAAGCGATCGTTTCGGATAATATCATCTCATCTAAAGATGTCCTCACAAGAAAAGTGAAATAATTTTTTAAGTGAAAGGTTCTCTGCGAAAGTTTGAAGCTCCAGAAAAGTTGCCTTAAAACAAAAGCGCCTCATTGAAAAACTTTGCTGGTTTTGAGTATGGTTAATACATTAGAGCAACATTAATCTTGAGCACGTATAAAATTTGTGCGTTCAAATAATAAACACTTTTATCAATTCAACAATAATCCTTATTTTACGAATCACTCTACTGCAATCACTTTTTTATTTTTTAATGACAAATTGAACCTAAAAGTCACGGTCTTCTATATAGACATATATGAGCTATATACTTTGCAACACCCTATTGTTTTCAAGCCAAGCAAAATAATAAAAAAAATGTTTTATGAACTGAACACAAAAGTTGTACGTGAATCGTTCAGACAAAAAGCCATGGTGTGGTCTACCGAAACGCGTTATGTTTAAATCGATATTGTCAAGACGAACGACAGAAAATTAAGTAGCCATTTCCTGTCTTTATTTGGTAATAAACCTGAAACAAAAGAACATGGTAGGTCTGGAGGGCAGGCGAAAGACAAGCCGATAATAACAGAAGCGTCAAAGGCAGTAGTTCTTTAAAATTAGTCTTACAAAACATTATCTAGACAATGCGGCATTTATTTATGTAAATTTTGTGTTAGGAGGCATAATGCCATAAGGCATTACCATGAGGTTCTACTTTTTTTTGTATTCAGAAATCTATATGCATGCTTATAGCCTGACCGTGTACCTGACATGAGGTCAATTGACTTTTTCCTATGAGGTCATGTTAAGGCTCGAGCTTAGAAACAGACACCAACATTAGCTCAAGACATAAAAGATCAAGTTTTAACATCTGAGAAATAATTCCTACCCCTATCTACTGACCGATGAAGCAAAGAACCTAAATGACATCTTTTACCAGTTAAACATTGTCCATTCGCTTTTACATTTAAAAATTTTTTCTCAAAAATGAATCAAATTGATGTCCGTGAGCGACAGTAGAAATGAACCATTTTATAATATCTATGTATAGGAAGAATTCGTCAAAATAGAAAACTTTAGATTTTATTAGCTTTCGTTATTTTGGATTTTCCAGGTTGACGGGACTCTCCTGAGAAAGTAAGCTGACCCCATTGGCACATTTTCTCTAATTTCTTTTAATGCAAAAACAGATTAGTTAAAAAACTAATAAAAGATAAAATATGAAATATTCGCTTTCATTGACAAATAACCGGGGTAGACAGACGATAGACACTTAAGCAACATAAGGCAAAAACAGAGAAATTAACATTTTTATTAAAATGGTAAAAACTAGTAGATATTAATGCCATAATCCTCCTAAACCTTTTTTGAAAAAGTTAAATAATTTCTAGTATTTCCCTCTCGTTATATGTATATTTTATTAAATAATTTCGTTAGACTCGTTTGAACTGGTCGAGATTTTTACTAACTGGACTGGAATTTCCTCAGAACGTCCAGCTCTACTATTTTTAGTTAAAATTGGTTTTAATTAATCGAGTCCTCGACTTCGAATCTTCGAATCTCGAATTTTCGAATTTGTAAGTTGGGCGTGTTTAGTTAATTTCTGTCTGAAGTAATTTTGTTTATGTATTTAATCTATGTTTTTCTTTTATCTTTTTTTGCGATAATCAAGTTCTGCATTCTATTTCGAGTTTACGTCTAATAGTATTTTCTTCTGAGTGTTGTTAGTAATTTCCGTTAGTTTACTGTGTAGACTTTCTATGTCGGGTTCCTTGCTCAGCCCTTCTATTTTTTGCCATTTCTCCTCAAACATTCTTTCTCTAGCTTCTTTAGTCATCTAGTTTGCACTTTTATATGATCTTTTATTTACTGGCTATCCTGTAATTTTCTTTTCCAGTTCATAAACAGTATAATATCTGGTGTTATCCAAGTTTTAAGTGGGTTATTTACTGGTGTCTTCATGTAAAATGACCAACGGTCACTCTTAAGCTTCGATACATTTAGTATGATCTTGGACCACAATCAAAGCACGAAAAGTTTGAAAATCTGCATACTTGCAGATTCCATATGTAATTATTCTACAATTTTGATTCTTCCGCATTCATCTTCGTCGAAAATAGGTTGTGAATAACTCGATAAACTAGTAGCACCTTTAACGACTTGTTCGGCATGTTGTAGGAACTCATAAGAGATCTTAGTTTTCCATTAGTTTCACGTGAAGACTTTTAAGATACGCCCATGCTTAAATCTAAGAACACAATAACGATATCATAAAAGAGATGGCCTAGGGCCAAATGAGCGCAGCTGCGGCCATTGAAGCACTGAGTCCAAGAGCAAAAGACATAGAAGGGAAGAGCGAGAAACAGAGAAAGAAGCTAGGTACTCTGGCGGCTGTCAGCCTCTTTCCAGCACAACTTAATCTTCAGATGGTCTTTGCCGTTGAAGGAAAGGGACACGCTAGTCGCTTGTTTGTTTGTTGTTCGGCTCAGCTGATACGGACGTAGTCGTAGTCGTCGTTAGTTACACACCTAGAAGACTTGGGCCAGGTTTTTTGGGCGACCGGCTTCAAGGATCGTCGGCTACGCGTTTATGATCCGATATTTCGAGATTTATTTTGAACTTTTTGGACGGTTAGTGCGTTGAGTAATAGTTGTTAGTTTGGATTATTGGATGCGGATAATGCTAAAGGATTTAAAAAATTAAACGTTGGGTAAGTACATTTAAACAAATCCTTAGCTAAGCCAGAGGAGTTTGAAATAGTCTGTGCAATTGTTCAAGTGTGGGCTGTGTTGCGTATTAAATGTATTTTTTGTTACTTAAAAATGAACGTCAAAGTTGGTTAATACCTACCTGTATGTAGAAAGAATTATGAGATAAATAATCAAATTTTATATGCATTTTGTATCACTTGAAAGACCCAAAGGCTGTCTTCTAATAATCAGATCGCGTTTGCTCCCATCGGACGAGCGGAACAAATCATGTCATAAAGAATGCATTTGTTTGATGCGTATGTGCGTTATCACATTTAAAATAAGGCCAAAATTACATTTCTAACAAATTCGCATTTACTTGGATTATTAGAAATAACATAAAGTCCTTACTTAAAACATATTTGAGTGAGTGTTTCATATATTTCACTCAGCGCGAGGTTTTAGCTCTTACTACACGTACTAACACTATAAATTCCGGAACGGAAACTCGCATAAAAGAGAATTCGTAAGAATTGCGTATTATTGTTGATTATTCCGCGCAAAGTAATAAGAGATAGGAGTAAAAAATTGCAATACAATAGTTTGTGGTAGTTGTAGATATACAATAACTATTAAGATTTTCATTACTTTTTACTTCGGCATATTGACTGAATTGCACTTTTTGAACTTTTTTGCAGAATTTGATTTGAATGTTTTTACAAATGGCTAAAAATAAGCCGAAACATTATGAAGAGAATATTTTTCAGTCAAAAGCCAACAAATTAGTTCGAGAACTGAGAGAGAATATAAGCTGCTGAAGCTGAAGATGTAAGACGGTAACTACTCATGTAAAAAGACAATCAACCTTAGCTTCCAAGACTTCTGTGGACCTGTGAACATTATTTTCATCACAAATTAAACTAATCATCAACTTATGATGATATTATGATTAGATTTAAATCACAAGAGTAAATAAAAAAAATGCATAGGAATTTTGCGGAAACCAATAATTTTTTGCTGAATATTATAGATATTTATGAACCTATTCTTGTCTATTTCTTCTTATTTTTCGTTAATTTCAAAATTTTCTCGGTGATATGTTTTCTATTCTTTACAACAGTAGCTACCAAAATGTGAGCTTATTTAGACACATTAATATTACGAATAATTTAAGTAAGTACCTACATAAACGAAGGCTCCACGGTTCATCATTACAATATATTACTTAATTGAAGTCAATTTCAAAATGACTTTTTTTTTCGTTTTCTATGTTTTAGCATTTATACAGTATTTATTATTTCCAACTTTATGTTTACTTTTTCCCACCTGCAATTTTTTTTTATTAGTGAGTTTGTATTTAATTTTTTTCCTGTCCATAACATTTCCCATTAACATTACATTATAAATCATTCTACTCAAACCATCTTGTACATTCGAACAATACTTTGTTGATGATGTCGAATTGAAGAATAAATATAAATATGTTTATACAACGTTTCTGCTGTGTAAAATAATACTTTAATAAAGAAATTTTTGACTTATATCTTGCTTCATTGAAGTGTGAACAAACTTCGATTACTTCATACGTTTTGCACAGAAGAGTGTTGTATTAAACGTTTAACAGTATTTGCATCAATTTGTTAAGTTTGCTTAAGGTATTTAGCTTTAATTGCAGTTAATTGTTTTTTCGCTTGGCTTTTTAAAGTAGTTTGCTAACTATTAATGTACACCAACCTCTTCCTTTCTATCATTGAAACTTATAATGTCTAGTCATTTATAAAAATTCTTCGACAAAACGTTATCGCACTGGACGCTTGCACTGAAAGCGGTCCAAGTTACTTACTTTTACTCAATCGATTAATTATGATCAGTTCCAAAATGTAAAAAGTTAAACAAAAAAATGTAAACCTTTATTATCCAGTTGATCATGATCTGTATCGTGTAGTTTTACTTAGGTGTGATTTAGTGAGTCTGTTATGTGGAGATGTGATAATCAATTGTGTGTTTATAATATCATGCCAAATTCTTGTCGGGTTTACAACATTAATGCAATTGATGTTTGCTCTAAGCGATCTAAATTACACACATATTTATGATATGCATTTAAACTGAGACATAAAATCGTCAGAAAAGCATTTGTAATGGAGAAGGTAAAATGGGTTACCTATTTCATGCTGATATAATCATGGCTGGGAAATAAAAAGTTCGGTATTGGATTACTATTTCATATTTATCCTAAAGTGCAAATTAATATTTAAAAGGCTTGTTCAATTGAGGTAAATGGCTTTGAAAAATTTATCACTAAATAACTTGTGTCGATTAAAATAGAAATGCGACGCTTTGAGTTGGAAGAAACAATAATTCAGGCCGGGTATATGATAATAATAGTTCAACGCTGAACCCTAATCGCATGGCTTTAGAAAGATTTAGAATTGTTTAGCTGCAAAAAAGGATTATCGAGTTTTGAAGGCTTAAATATTTGTTTGAAATTAATTGGGGTGTAAATCTCTCTTAAACAATAACCGTGATTCCTTTGAAATTGTGCGAAATCTGTCTAGATGCTATCCAAAGGATCAGGTACCAGCGACTACCTGGCTTTGTTCATATTCTGAATGCACTGTTACTTGCACGAAGGGCACCTTATAAACAGATGTTCGGTTTTAAAGAAATTCACTTCTGCAGTACTTACATGCTATTCGTTTTAAACGCTGCTTTATAAGAAAATTAAACTACCTATTTTATTTTAGAAACCGAAAACTCACAAATTTACCTATCTGTTCAAAGGGTTCTACCAGCCAAACAGATCTTGGCGGTTCTGCTAAACGTATTTTTAATCCTTCTCGGTCTGCTTTAGTGGAAAAACTCAGTTGAAAATTGCATACATTATGCGGCTTTTTGTGGTAACTGTTGAGTTCGGTTAAAAAAATAGCAATAGGTGAGCATCAGAAAGGTGGTGAGGCACAAAAGAAGAAATCACGTCAACTGGTTTCCAGCGAACGGAAAGCTCTTATTTAAGTAAATTACTGCTTTTTCGAGTTTCTAAACGTCGTACAAATTGTTCAATTTTCAAGATGCTCGTGGTTTTAACCAACTCCCGAACTTCGCATTGATTGGCCAACCCAAACCCCATGTTATATAAGGTCATTAATGAATATGTTGATATGAAGGCGGTCATTTATAAATGCATGAATATTTTATTAAGAGTATTATAGGTGGTTGTTGCCATGTTTAGTGGACTATTAGGCATAAAAATTCAAAACACCAAAATCAAAATGGAAGTACCCAGGAGTAAACAGTAAAAGTAATACATTTAGGCATATGTATTTTAAAATCATTAGAAAACTCGGATGATTTTTTTGTCAAGCTCATTTTGAAAGTGAAGTTGATCCAATAGAAGACGTTATTAAAATTGCACAACTGGAATACTACGTGAGTAAAATTGGATAATGAAATATTTTGAATTTTTGGCTAAAATCTGATGTTATCTATCGGAACACGATAGTTGTGAAGTAAAATTGCTGAGAGTGTAATTAGTAATTATCAGATTTTTTATTAAATCGATAAAACTTCAATCATGCGAATTAATTACGTCCGATTGAATTTGTCACGAAAACCTGCGTAAAACCCAGTTCGATGTTTCACAAAACTTTATTGTCGTTTTTCGCAAATTTATGTAATCTTGCTCAGGAAAGCGATTGTCGTAATACGTTCAATTTTAATGCGTTTTCTGCTGCCTATTTGGATTTTCACTGGTTTGATTAAGTATAATCGAATATATGCGAAAGTATATTCGCAGTTTGATGTAAAATAAGCACGATTTTGTAAGCGTCAGTCGCTTTGCAACTTTACAACAACTTTATAGAATAAAAATAGCTGATGTGAACCTAATCAGAAGAAAGACACTGGAAAAGGAGGCAATTTTTATATACTGATATGAGATCAGGCCCTATTGACCTGTTCCCTGCTAAGTTTCTTAATTCCTACTATTCCTACACTAGTCTTGAATCACATTATCAGAAAGTTGTTAAATAATATAGCTTTTTATTAAAATCAACACAGACGTCTGAACGCTTTACTGGTTTAACTAAGATTATGGGGATCGTTACGTATGATTTGAACTTTAATAAATCAAATCAGTTGAAATTTGCAATTTTTCAATGGCATCGCCAAAACGAGAAAATCAGTTTGCTTAAAACGTGTCAGTAAATTACAGTTGCTTCCAAATAGAAATGTGCTGACGTAATCTGATTGCAAATAAACAATTATTATGCGCAATGCGTTTCTAGTTCATTGCAAATATATGTCACGCTTGCTTAGGACTACTTATGCTTTATAAAATCATTTGTTCTAGTGTTTGTTAATAAGTTTAAACGCACTTAGAATCTCAAGTGTGATGGTGGCATTGATATAAATATAATATATTTTGCCGCAAAGCAACGAAACGGAGTTACATTATACAACAAAGTGTATAATAATACTGCTATAAAACAATAATAGTTAAAGACAGATATTCTTTAAATTATTAAATCGTAATCCATAAGCTGCACGTATTCGTAAGCTGCGAAAACACACCACAGTCCAGCGGACTAAAAAGTTCAATGTTCAGAATTTCAATGCTCAAATACAATTTGTCGTCATACGAAGCGGTTATAGAAAATCGATTTCGTATAGTGCAATTTCAGTAGTAATTTTGAAAATATCCTCAAGCTCATTTGTCAAAAGTGAACCTTCCGATAAAGGACTATAGAAAATTTTCATATGTAAAGAACAACCTACAATACTGGTCTGGTCAATTCTTAGTTGATTTATTAATCTTACACTTAAAGTAGATGTTTCACAAATTCTTCAATGTATAGTGTTACAAATTATATCAAGCAATTATAACTCGCAAACATTGCACTTTTTGTTTTTAATCAACATTGACTTAGAGCATAAAGCTGAATGTCCCATAAACAGGTGCTAAGCTCAAAAGTATATTTACTCTTGTTTACGAACGGCCAAGGCTCTCGAGCGAGTATTT